CACGAGTCTCTCGGCTCTGTCTTAAAGGCAGCGGTGGTCATGGCAGAGGGGGGTTTGCTGGGAGGAGAGAGATCCTCCGGAAATAGCACTGCAATCAGCACAGAGATGCCTCACCTCTCAAAGGAACTATAAAATACATTAAAAGTCAAGTCACCTGATTACAAACTATCAGTGTGAATATTCAGCAGGCTTGAAAGCTTCTGAACATCTCTGACTTATGTTGGTAGATGAGCATTTTCTCTGGCACCGTCATTCATTCAACATTAGTCCAGCACGTCCTTTGCGATAGGCTTCATCCAAGGCACTTGGAGATACTGGTGAACAAAACAAAGCTCTCTGCTGTCATGTACATTTCATTCCAGTGGGGAAGATAAACAGTTAATAGTGTGTTAAAGGGCGACTGGCGCTATGGAACCAGGAGAACACAGGGCAGGGCGGGGCAGGGCGGATGAGGCACTGAGGGAAAAGGGCAGGTTCCTGTGCTTCCTTGTCTTTGGTGATACCCGACTTCGCCATTTCAATAGCAACCTTATTGCCAAGCCTCCGCGAAATAGATCTGGACAATGAAACCTTCCCTCGGGGTTTGAGGATTGTGATGAAGGAGATGCACACTCACACACGGGGCGCTGGCTCCGTTTCCGGGTATTACCGCTAATTTTATTAATCCTCCGCACAGCTGCCGGCTGAGTCAGCTGCCACACAACTCCACTGGTTCCGGACGCAGGGAAGCATGGTATCTGATTGGCTATAGAGGTTATTAACAAAATCTGGGCTTTATTGGAAAGATCTGGTTTTCAGTTAAAAAGAAAAAAGAGGAGAAAGCCACAAATCAAGATTCTGTAAGTCAATAATCACACATACTTTTGTAAAATAATATTGTTATTATCAGCATCTCTCACCAGCATCAGGATCCTTTATTGGATACTCTGGTCAGTGAATGACAAGATTTTGTTATTACTTCTACATTGTCCTTCCAAGATAGAATCACCTTTACTAAAGAAAGCCGCAAAGCTTTTTAAAAGCCAGTATTTAGTAGGGAACAAAGAGCTGTATAACAAAATATTAATTATTCTAAAGGATAGCTCAGAGGAAAATACTCGGTTTACTAGAAACAATAAATTCTTTTCTCCACATTTCTATTTCTGTTTAGGCCAGTCTGATCTGTTTCACCAACTCCAGGTACACATACGGTCACATGTCTTTTGTTTTTCTTAAAAATACATTAATCACTGCTGAAGAGCAAAAAAAAATGAAGGGTTTCCATTTTGAAGCTTCCCACTCACCTTGAATTGTCCAAAAACCTGAGTATTTTCTTAGTTCAGTGGGGTCCATCCTGTTTCCTTGTTTGGCAAGCAGTGTGGGTGTGCATTGTGGTCCTCTGTCCCCTGCTCTCTCATGGTGGGGTCGCTGAGGACTGGTCCTGTGGGGCTTGATTTGTACAAACTATTACGTGAGTGAAGTATTCAGTTCTCTAGAATAAATGCCCAAGGTGAAATTGCTGGGTTGTATGGTAGGTCCGATTTTAGTTTTAAAAGAAAGAGCCAACTTATTTTCTAGAGCAATCTCACCATTCTACGTTCCCGCCAGCAAAGAATATGTGACATAGTTTCTGTTTCCTCATCAGCATTTGGTGTTGTCACTATTTTTATCTTATCCATTCTGTTTGACATATTGTTATACTTCTAATTTACACTTCCCTAATGGCTAATGATGTTGAGCATCTTTCCATGTGCTTATTTGCCAGCACTCTATGCTTTTTGGTAAAATATCTTGTCATGTCTTTTGCCCACTTTCTGATTGGATTGTTTGGTTTATACTATTGAATGTTGAGTTCTTTTTTCTAGATATAAATCCTTTGTCAGATATGTTATTTGATAATATTTTACCAGTATATTATTTGCCTTGTCATCCTCTTAATAGTTTCTTTATAGAACAAAAAAATTAAAAAAATTTTTTGACAAGATCCCATTTCCCAATTTTTCCTTTCATCCACTTACTTTTCATTCGACAAATAACTCTTGTATATCTACAGTTTATGAAGATACTGTTCTAGGCTCCCATAGGAATCAAAGATGTGATACGGTGTCAGCTTCAAGACATTTCCTCTCTAGTAGGGGGTATTGGATGGAGATACAGCCAAATAACTAATGTAACATAAGAAATGCTAAGTGCCATGGAAAAGATAGAGATACAATTTTTTTTTTTTTTTTAGAAAATCAGATACCATATTTTGGATGATAGGGAAGTAGTAGGTAAAGGTTTCACCCTTCTATGCCAGAGAATGCTACAAGAGAATATAAACTTTCTTTATAAACTCTTTTTTTCCAGGTGAAAATGATAATTTTTAGATAACATATGTTAAATCTTGTTCTGTGCAAAGCCATTCCACATACATTGTATCAATTAATAACCATCTTACAGGGTAGTGGAGAGGACTGAACCATATATTTTATTGAGAGAATCTAGGATTCAATGAGGCTAAGTAACTTGCCCAAGGTCACACACACAGGAAGTGGGAAGGTCAGACTGGCACTCCAGTGTTGTGATTAATGCTCTTTTATTTCTACCCAGAATTCTCCTGAGACATGTCCTTTTCCTTTCAGTATAAACTCATCAATCTTCTGGCTAAGAAATGGACTGTCTGATTTACATTTTAAAAGAACACACGATGCATTTCCTTGGTGCACAAATCAACAAGCTCTCCTTGATAAAGAAAGACTCCATTAAAACTTTTCCCGTGATCAAGATCGTGCAGCAAATGGAAAGACAAGAGCTGCCTCTGGGTCACCGGGGGCAAACAAAGGATGGCTCTTGCTGGAATTCAGTAAAATTTCGCCGGGTGACAGCTCAGGATGGAGTAATCAAGGAGATGGTATTTTAGGTCATCTTCTTGCAGGCTTATTGTTACCCAAGGCACCTTCCAATGCCAAACCTTTCATGGGGAATGATTAAAAAAAAAACCAATAACAGCTCTGGTAAAGAATTAAAGGTGAATCTGTTTCTGACCTGAAGGACTACAAATAGGGAATTGGGGCTCTTTCTCATGCATAATGTCTCTGGATTTCCATCTATATTTTCTTTCTGTATTATTTGTGACCTTGCTCAAATCATTGAACTGTTCTGTATTTATTTGTCTTTCTTTTAAAATGTTTATAACTTAGGCAAGATGCTAGGACTTGTAAAGAGGTGAGTTTATATATTAAGGTCAGTTTTGCAAACACCGGCATGATGTCAAATGCCCTTGGAACCCCTCTCTCATTCTTGTCCTGATGTAAACACTGTTGGGTCACGCGTGGAGAGTAATCCTTTCACATTCCACACTTAGTTCTACATTCATACACCTCACTTGAACCTCTGGATCCACACATGCCAGAAATTCGACCTACCATTTTGTATAACAAAAGGTAAACATAAGGACATTAGACAAATTTATTTTCTCTAGGGAACTACACAAGAACATGACATGTAATGGTCGCCTCCAGGGAGAAGAATTAAGAGGCTGGCAGACAAGGGTGGGAACTGTGTACCCACTTACACTTTTTGAATTTTGTACCAACCACGCCAATGCCAATCAAACATAGATAAATAAAATTAAAATTGAATAAATAAAATAGAAACTAAACACAAACTTCCTTCTACTCTGACCAGTTTGCAGATAATATTAATAAAATCCGTTTAAAAGAGGAATACGGATCCTCAGAGAAACCAACTTCTTTACCTTGCAAGTTTCCCTCTTAGACGTTGTTTTGTTCTGTTGGTTGGTTTGCTTGTTTTTTCTGCTGCGGACAGATCAACAATCGGGCAAGCCATTCACTTCGTCTGCGCAAACTTAAGCTCAGAGAACAGCCTCCCTCAATCCATCGTCTTGATTGAGGATTCCCAGTGTTTTAGGGAGCATCAATGAAGCTCCACAAACGTTTTATTCTGATGGAGCGACTTCCATCCTGCAGCTAATATTGACGATGTGTTTTCACAGTCCAGTAGTTGGAGCTGAGGCAGTCCACTGTCTTAAGAAGATTCCAGGCCTTGTGCCTGATGGATGCAAACGCGCCATGAAGCCCTGGCCTGCAGCGGAACCTTTCAACTTCCAGCCGCTCTTCCAAGACCTGGAGCTCCTGGCCTGGGCCCGGATGCGTCCCTCACCCGCCGCAATCTTGAGGCGTCCTTCCACCATCGCGGGTCACTAGCCCCTGGGTGCAGCACCGACCGGGCTTCCAGGGATTTGGCCGAGCAGTGGCCCGGGACAGCTCCCCAGCCCAGCGCGAACCCAGTCTGTGCGTGGAACGAATGAGCGTCCCTAGCACAGTAAATTCATGAGAATGAAAGGAACCCAGACCACGTTGACTTTAAGGACCCAGGGGCTGACTGTTAAGTGAGGGAGAAGTGTATCTGGAGAAGCGCCACGCAGCCTCCAGTGAGGCTCGGGTGGGAGGGCGCCCACAGTCCGCCCCGCGAGCGGCAGCTTGGAGCGGAGGTTCCGGTGACCTGTCACTGTGCGGTCAGGAGAGGGCCGGGCCGGCCCCACCCCCCCCGGGTGCCTGGGGGCAGCGGACAAGAAAAGCCTTACTTCGAAGCTGGGAATGACCTGAGGTCTCGTCTGGGGGCTCCGGGGCTGCGGCCGGGACAGCGCACTGCGCCGCAAGGGAGAGCCCAGGAGGGGGCGCGGATCCCGGACCGGGGCTCGCTCAGCCCCAGCCCCGCCTCCTCCCGAGGCGCCCCGCCCTCCCTGCGCGTGCCGCCCGCGCGCCCGGGGAGCTCCAGAGCCACCCGCGGGCAGGCAACCCCTGCCCCGGCGCAGGCGCCGTCGCGCACCGCCCCTCTAGCCGGCGCCCAGCCTGCGCCCCCGCCCCGCCTCCGCACGCGCCCCCACTCGGGGCGTCTCTGATTGGCCGGCAGCTGGGCCAGGGTGTCAGCGGCGGCTGCGGCCAGGCTGGCCCTGGGTGCCTGCGGCACAGGCGACTTCCTCGCAGCCGCTGCCGCCGCGCTCCCGCCTCCAGGCTGCTCCTGAACTCCCGCTGCGGCTGCGGTTCTGGCGGCCGAGCCCCGCGGCGTTGCAGCTCAGAGCTGGCGCGCCGACCCACCGGCGCCCCTGCCTCGCAGCTGGCAGCTTCCTAATACTCGCGCCGCCCTGCGGCAGGTGCCCCAGACACCCTGAGGCGCGGTGGCCCGAGCCTGGCCACCATCGATGACCCAGGTCACGGACCTACTCCAGCCTGGCTACCGCGTGTGAGTACCTCCCCTCCCGCGGCTTTGCGCCACTGTCCCTCTTACGTTGCGGCAACTTCAGGGGTGGGTGTGTGGAGGTGTCTCGCACGTCTCCTCACGCCCCGTGCGGGTCCTGAGCCAGGAGACTCGGCAGGGCCAGTCCATCTCTGCGGAGGCGTTTGGGGCGGGGGGTTGAACTTGCTAGGGCATCGTCGCAGAGTGGCAACCTCCCCTTTCGCCCGCGGCCGGGGCTGGAGCTCGCCTCTGGTTTTCCCTGGCGGTTTCCGATCCCCACCTGCCACGTAGCTCTTGGGCTGCGGTTCACCGCGCACCTACTACGCTACGGGCGCACCAGCGGGGCGCCTTAAACCGTCGAGCAAGCGCCGGAATCAGCTCCACGCAGCTGACTTGACTCTTTTGGACTGTTAATTTCTGTAAAATGGGGCTAATCAGGGACTCGCTCAAGGTCACAGCTGGTGCGCGGAGTAAGAACCTGATTCGATAGCCTCCGGCCGGGTCCCCGTACTGTCTGGAGAGGGGCGCGCTGTTGCAGGGTAGAGGGGGAGGTGGTTACCTCAGCTTCATCCCAGTTTGTACCCCACACTCCCTTCCCCCAACTTTGCCTTATTTGAAGAGGTGGGGACCTGATCCCAAGGGACCCCTTGGGAGACCTTCGGGGTGAGCAAGTAGAGGAGCGATTGCGCGGTGGGAACCCTTGGACCTGCGACATTTGCAGTATCCCTTCCATTCCCCGTGAATCTGCTAACGTCTCGGCAGGGTTAGGGGAATTTACCAGGTGCTTCTACTCTTAGATCCGCCCTGCTCCGTCTCCTCCCAAACAAGCCCTGGCCCCGAGGATACGTGTCGGAGAGACTCGAACAGCACACGTCAGTGGGGGCCCAGGGACTTCCTAAGAGAAGCGGCTGGGCTCCGGGGTCGGCTTCCCCGACACTGGCTCCCACCAGCCTTTAGAAATGCCTTGAGTTTGGCTCCTTTTCTGCTCGGTCTCCCTACCCCGTGATCTGGGTGTTTCACACTTTCCCAGGGGATTGGAGTCCGGTCCTAGGATGTGCAAATGTTGTCAGCTGTGAATCTTTTTCTCCAGATCCTTTGGGGCAGCTCCTTTGGGGCTGGGAGCGGTTGTCAGCACTTCGGGCTGGGGAGAGGGTTGCCCCTCATCTTTTGAGGCTGTCATCCTCTTTCTCCAACTCCGCCCGCCATGCCCCAGCTTACTGATGAGATGACTGCTTGGTTTTGTGAAGTCTGACATACGGCTTTGAGCCTCAACTTTTTAATCTATGAAATGGATCAATTCCTGTCTTTTAGTCTTCCCAGGGCAGTTGGGGTTCAGGGAACGTGACAGATGTAAAAGTGGAAGGAAGATAGTCCTGGAGGAACTGAACTGAGGGTGGAAATGGAGGCAATTTTTTATTTATTTATTTATTGTTTAACAGCAGGGTCTCGGCCCTGACTCACAGATCTGAAATTTCTTCTTTCCTGAGAAATTTGGTTTGGTAAGACTTTGAAAATACTGCTTTCCACCCTCATGTTCTTTCTTTCCTGGCCGTGGCAACTTAAACCAACAGTGGTATGGATTGTCTCCTTTCTCCCTGCCCAGAGGGACACGAGAGTTCGTCAGCGGCCTTGGCCTTGAGTGCAATTGATTCAGACCGACTGAAACACCTCGTAGAGTCCTGAGCATCCCCCTGGTTTTGCTCTCCTGGTTATTAATGTGTTTTCACGGACTTTTGTCTCAAAGGCAAGTGAAGGAGGAAAGACTGGCCAGACCTTGGTGCATGGATTTTAATATCATATCGGAGTGTCCGTGCACTCGATTTTCAGACTGCACAGACCAGTGGAACTCATGCCCCGATTAAGACCTAGAATATTCCCAGGCTCCCCATTGCCTCTGTAGGTGCTGTCTCCCAGGGGTGACCTCCGTGCTGCTAGGTTTTGTCAGGTGGCTTTAATTTTTATGGCTATTACTATTTATTTTATCACGTTAGTTTCAGAACAAAAATGAAACTGCTAGATGATTTCCTACTTCCTTTTTTAAAAACTGTAGCCAAACCAAAAGTAGGTAGTTAGACCTAAGCCAGTCCAGGAAGCTAGAAGGAAGAATTCAGTCTTGAGACCTGGGTGGACTTTGAACTGGGTTTCCCCCCCCACCCAACACCCCGATCGTTGGTTCTTGAATGGTGTAACCAGCCGGACCCCAGGTATAACAGTGCTGACGTTATTAAATGGAGGCTGGTTTGTTCATAGCGCCTTTGAATAATGTAGATCTGAAATAGCATGATAATAAAATGTGAATGAAGAAAATACGTGAATGGCTTCTCTCTTGAAACATAAAAATGGAAATAATTTGAATTCCTCAAAGTTAAAAATTGGTGAAAATCACAGAATTTCAAGGCTGTGATTTTATACGCTGTTTGTGCTGTTGCCACACGGTGGCGCCACATTGGCGGGAGAACTGAAAAGCCCACCGTCCTTTCCCAAGCCCTCGGAACGGGATCGCAGGAATAAAATCCGGCCCTTTAGGATCTCTAGAGGTGATTTCCAAACACTGCGGTTTTCCCAGGGTCTGGCAGGCAGGCCTCCCCTCCGATGCTTGCTAAGTCCGTGGCTAGAACGCGAGCCCAGGGTTTTAGGAGGGCGGCCTGTGGGTTTGGGCAGGTGGAGCTGAGACCCCATTGCCTTCTCTTTAGCAGGATGGAGCAGCAGTGCGTCCTTGGAATTTTAGAGAGGGTCAGTTGAGAAGCTAGCTTAGGTATGTTATGGTCCTTTGGGTGTCATTTCACCCCAGAATCCCCCAAAGGTGTGAGAGAAGGAACTCTCTTTTCTGGGGCTGGGAGATCTTTCCACAAAGCGGTGTCCGCGGTGAACTTGAAGAATAAAGAGGCCCAGCTGCTGCCGAACTGCTGCTGGGAGAAATGGCCCTTGCCTCCCGCAGTACAGGCGCCAGGTCGCCAGGGGAACAGTCAGGGGTGGGAATGCTGTATCCAGCGGTGACAACCTCTTGAGAACACAGCCAGTGCCCTTCGCCTGTCCATCACCTTTTCATTTTACTGTCAGTGTGACGGAGGTGCTGTTTAGACAGTTGTACTCAGGTGGTGGCTGCCACGCCTGTTTGCTAAAGGTCTTGGGTATCTGCCATGTGCTGGACACTATATATGTATTCGTTTAACCTTCACAATAGGAGGAAGGTGGCTTTCCTATTCAGCGGTCCCCACCCTTTTTGGCACCAGGGACCGGTTTTGTGGAAGACAATGTTTCCACGACGGGGGCTGGGGGAGGTGGGGGGATGGTTTGGGGATGATTCAAGCGCATTGCATTCAAGCTCACTTCCTGCAGTGCAGCCCGGGTCCTAGCAGGTCCGGATGACACCCGTCTGTGGCAGGGAGGTTGGGGACCCCTGCAAGAGAACTGGGCCTTGAAAATTAAGCACTCTTTCTAAGTTTATACGCTATGTGACCCAGAGCAAGGATTGAGCCAGGTCTCTCAGACAACCTCCCTATGAATTGTACCTTCCTGCAGGGCGCAGGAAGTCTTGCCTGTTGCTCTGGACCTTCCTGGCACCTAGCATTGTACTTAACATTTAGTAGCTACTTAGTCTAAGTATGGGATTGTCATGAAGGGAAGATTCTCTGCTGAGCAAGAGGGAAATTCAGACACTGAAGAATGAGAATTTGGGGTTGAGTTCATACACTGTAACCTGTAACACTGGGACTGAGTGAGTGCCCATCATGTGTCGTTTTCTTTCGTGTTTAAAATTTTAGGTAAAGGGAGGCCTGCCATTTAGTTTTGTGATGTTTTCTTTTCTCCTAGTATTGTTCTTGACATGTGTTGATCGCCTACGTTGATAACTGCAGATGTGATATTTCTTTGATATCCCAGAATTTAAATCCCCATTGATGGATGAAAAAGACTTTTTCCCTTTTGCTAGTGTAAACACTATTGCAGGGGATATCTTGATGGATATGTACGTGAGTGTGCCTAGGGTATATACCTCCAGAAGTTGAATGTCTGGGTAGTAAGATTCTCTCATATCAACATCTGTCTGTTACTTCAACTCTACTAGGCTTTGCAAAATGCCCTCTGAAGGGATTGTGCCACTTACTGGTCCCACTAGCGCTCTGTGGGAGTTTCCTGGATCCCCGTAGCCTTGATTGTGCCTGCTGTTAATCAGATGCTCTAATTTTGGGTAATGTGATAAGCATGGAATATATTTCACTGCTCTTTTACTTTTTGTTTCCCTTAGAGATCTTAAAAATGTATACATACTTTGACTTTCAAGCTTTCTTTTCTATGCATTGGTGTTTTTTACTAGGTAAAATTTTAGATCTTTAAACTCATGAGAAATTTTTATTTCTGTATAGCGTGAGGCAGGGATCTAATTGTTTTCCATATCGTAAACCATGCTATTATTATTTAATGAATAATTAACTATTTCTTATTTATTTTGCTGCTATCTCTGTCATAGCACAATTTCTGTTATGTATTTGGATCTGTTTCTTAACTCTGTTCTGTTATTTTTGTGATTCCTGAGCTAATATCATTTTTATTTCATTATTAAGGCTTTATGATAAATCTTCCCTTCTTAGCCTTTTTCTTCAAAATTATCTTGGCTATTCTTGACCATTTAGGCTTCATCATGAATTTTAGGATCTATCTTAAATATTCCTTCCTATGAAAAATACTTTTATCAAAATTTGGTAAAATATCAAATAAAATTATTTTCTTATTTCTTTTTCTTCAAATATATTGCTAATCAAATCTTTTAAGATCCCATTCTTTACTGTGACATATTGATCCCCATTTTATGTGGAATCACTTTAAGGGACTTTTATCTGGTACCAGATATCTGTGAATAATAAGGACCATGTGGATGTAGTTTTTAAAGCAAAAAGGGTCATTTTTTTATTCAACAACACATGACCAGCATTAATATCAATAATTATTCTTCTGTCATTTTTATCCTCCTAGTAATCTATTTCATATATATACCATAATTTATTCAA